GGCATCCTCATTACCCTCCCTACCCTGACTCCTCTATTCCCCCCCAGTCCGGATATATCTTTAAAAATATAAAGCCATTACTCTATGACCCAATGACATCAGGCCAAGACCCCCACGTCTCCCCTCTGTCTCACACGTCCTTTGCTCAACCATCCCCTCCCAAACCCCCACACATACCTTAGAACCTTCCTCTGGTTTTCTGCAATATCCTCTGCTTTTAAAAGGAACACCTCAGCCACTCCCCACACCTTACTGTACACCAGAGAGTTGACCACTAAACTCTCTGCTGAAATGTTACGTCCCTACCCCTTTAAACCCTCTAGCCTACCCAAAACCCTGCCCGTAATAATTCCGAATTTTCTTCCTACTCTCCTGCACTTCCGCATGTACCATATTCCACAAACCTTAATTTGTCCAATACTGACCATCCAACCCCTCCCCCAACCCCCCTCCCCCCCAATCCCCCACCTTAATAGTCTCGACTTCATTAATTTAAATTTCCCCATACCCGGGGCCGTCCCAAAAATCTGAATGATTCCACCAAATTTCCTTAGATCTTCCTCATGCCTTACCAACAGTAGTATCATCTACGTACCCCACAATCCCCCGCCCCCCCCCCACCCCCCCTAATCCCCATGTTCATTCATCACCTCATCCACCAGCCCATAAAATGGATTCTGTACGCGGGGCAAACAATAACTGAGAGAGTGGACACCCTGCCTAAAACCCTCTCCCCATCAGTACTGGGTCCCCCAACTTACCATTAACCTGTACCCTAATAAACTGCTTCCCTCATACAGGTTTGCACCATCTCACCCCCTTCTCCCCCAAACCCAGCGTTCCAACAACTTTTAGAAATCCCTATTCACCCCAATCATACGCATTAGCCCAATCTAATCCAAGTATTCCCCCTCCGGTGCAGTCCTCAAAAAAAATCCCTTATGTGACTATGCCCGCCCCTCATACTTCTTCCGGAATGCCAAACTGTCCCCATGTACCACTGTTTCCTGAACCCTTCTTCAGTCTATTGCCCAGAATTTTAGCATAAATTTTTATAATCTGCACACATTAAGGATATTGCTCTATAATCATTCAATACTTTCCCATCCTTCTTCTTCGGCACAACACAACGATCCCGGGTTTTTCGGGGGTCTTCCCCATCCCCCCACTGCTCCACATATGATTCAAGACTTCCACTAACCCATACCTAATGAAATTCCCCAAAATAAACGCTATAAAAATCATTGGTTTTCCCATCAATGCCCGGGCCCGCCCTTACCCTGACTCATCCCGTAAACCGCTCCCCCACTCCTCCTAAACAAATTTACTACCCTCCAGCATTTCCCGTTCCTCTTGTCCCAATACAATAGTATTCTGCATAACCCCAAATACCTCCTCACTGACAACTTCCTTGTTCCTCCTCCATTTCTCCCTAAACCCTTAATCACATAACCACTAATATCATCTGTTTTCAGTAAGACCTTGACCCCACCACTAACCCCCCCCCCCATACGCCACTATTGCGCTATGGAATCACCATCTGCCTTTCCCTAAATTTTCTCGGGCATAACCTGAGGTCATCAACCCTTTAAAACCTCCTCTAATCCTCCCTTAATCTAATCGCGTTAACCTTTCCCTTATTAATCCTTCAATCCCACCCTTAAGCCATCCACCGCACCGCACATCTTCCCTTCCCCCCCCCCGTCGTAATCAGCATTAGCTGTTTCCCCCCAGGTATTTTGCAAACTTATCTCACCTTGCTGTTCCTTTCCACGTATCCTAAAAAACCTGCTATTGCTGTCTTTGCTCGTTCTCCCACCAGTCAAACAAATCCATCCCACCATCCCTACCCTCCAGCAATGTCTCCACCATTCCTCAAAGGATGAGCCTTCACCCCCTCCTGCAGAAGCCTCACATCAATTTCCAATACCCGCATATAAGCGAACTTACCATCCACCCAGATCACTTCACCCCTTTAGCCGAAAAACCGACATCAAAAGCCTCACTCTCCACCCACCCCCCTGCAATCACATTATCCTATCTAACCTCGCCCATAATTCCCCACGAATAAAACTGTGCTCCCCCCCCATACTCCCCCCTGCCACCACAATACAACACCTACTCCCTTAACACATCCGTAGCGCACCAAAACCTCCTGCCCCCTCGCGTCACATCCCCTACCTAATACACAGTTCCAACACCTCATTTTCAGTTATGAAGGTAAACCCCGCAAATAGTACAAACAAAACATCACGTACAAAATCAACTTGACTCTAACTGTACATGCCGGCTATATACACCAATTGAAACATACTCTCCTCACCCAAATGCCCATCTACCCTTAAAACCTCCCGCCTCCCCCTCCCTCCCAACCATGACACGCAATGGGCTGGTCTCCTTTACCTACTGCTACCCCTCCTTTTAATTTCAAGCATTAAATGACAACATTTTATAACCCCCCAACTCAATTCACTCCAACCTTGGTTATGCTCCTGCAAAAAAATCATCCACATCAAACCTTCTAAAACCCCTTACCAAAACCCTTTTTACCTCAGATTTAGCCCATTGACATTTTTGTGACACTTGAATTTGCTAGAAGAGGGGTTACCCTATGCCGCTTATCTTACTCACTTTTACCCTTTCCCAGTACCTGTCCATTTTTATCCTTTTTTAACCTGTCCCCAGCCCCTCCTTGCCCCCCCCACTTCTTCCCCGTACAAACCCCCCCCCCTGCCTACCTTTCTTCCCTACAACTTTACCCATGAATTCATTCCCGGGTCTCTGCCCAGGTGTTAAAACTATCGAGGTCAAAACACCCGCATCCTTTTTCGTGAGCTCTCACTCACACACAAATCTACCCCCTGCCTCCTCCTGATGGACTTCCACACCACTTCCATGTCCATCTGCATTCTCGAACCTTCACCTGTTCTTGCTCAACCCTAGCTGTTCTCATTGACTTTCAGGCCATCTCCCGCCACCGTTTCGTCGAGAACTCCTACAGCACCGCATCCAGCAATTTCTGGGTAGCTCTTTTCCACGTCCACCCGTCCCTCAGGCGATGTGGCCCCTCCCTGTCACCTCCGGAGGGTTAAAGGTTTCCGACGTCGATTACTTCCCGTTCTACCTCTTATCATCGACATCGTCACTGGTTCCTCCTTCCAAATCAGGCATCAATCACATGGTTTTCTGGCCCCCAGCCAACGTTCCCGGAGCCCTGGTAGGCTGCCTTCTAGGCAGTGATTTTCCATATGGTCATATGAGCTACAGTCGAAAGGGCTTTTGGCCGGCCCTAGTGTACAAAAACCTGGTCCTGGCTCCACCAGCATGACGTGGACGGTATAGGCCTAGCCAACGTCATTTTGAGGGTATAAAAGCCCTCAGGTCGTCCCCTTTTATGGCCCTTCGTCCATACTCCAACGGTTGGGCCCAATGAACTTTACCGTAGTGTTGAAAACCTCTGTTACTTACGCGTCGACTCGAAAGGGACATTCCTCCCTTTAAACCACGTATGTACCTGGATACGTCAATGCATAACAACGTCCACTGCCCAGTTGACCGTACTTCCTCCCTGGTACCTTCAACGTTTGTCGTAGCGCCGGACGATTTCGTTTAAGAATCTGGTTTATCCCATTAAGGAACACCATTACTTCCTCGTTGGGGCCATTGCGTCCCTGATGATAGCAGGTAGCAATGTTTTGCATCGTTGCCCATAAGCGTTTCCACGTACCAGCTGTTCAAACAGTGTTTATCGCTGTCCACTCGGTACGCCATTTGTCTTCTAGTTGCTAAAGGTCACCACAGAGGGCAGGTGTAGCTACGAGGGGTGCCCTCCTCTCCCCGGAGGTGGGGAGCGAAGATGAGGAATTGATTGCCGTAGCGTCATCTTCAGATTAAGGATCTTCGGGCGTCCCACATAAGCCCCATCCTTCCACTCCCAATTCCGCAGCAGAATCTTGCCATAACGACGGATACCGCAACCACTTCAAATTGTAGCTTCAAAGGCAACATTTCCTACTTTTACGTAAGTCACATGCGGAATACATCATGAGATAACCTCCACTGCTGCATTCACGGCCATCCTCTTCTCGTGGTACTTGCAACTATACTTGATAAAATCCAATTTATAATTTGATGAAATCCTCTTTAATCCGTTAACAGCCAACCATAAAGCTCTTCATTGGGGATCCATACACATTTACGATAATCGTAGGAAGTTACACCCTATGGAACTGTTAGGCCCCCGTTTCTAATTCCACACAGACAGTATTTTACCCTACGCCAGTCTGCGCCATTTTGATTGTTTAAAACAGGTAAACTGCGCGAAAATCAACTGAATCGGACGCCTGCGCAGCACGTCCACTCAGCCCGGAAGCGAAGAGGACAATGTATGGTGTCGTTATTAGGTCTCGGGTTAAATGCGATTCTAGTGCAGTAATCTTTTGTCGTGTATCTTTTTAATATATTTCTGTCATTTGTATCGCACTGTTTTAAATAAAATAATAAAAAAAAAGTCACAGTTGATTATTGTTTACTGCCTGTATCTTGTTACATATTGATTATGTACCCATATATTTTGTACCTGAGTTTTAAATAAAAAAAAAAAAAAAGTTGCAGTTATCTGAAGAATGATCGAGGAAATCTATTAAGATGCAGGAGGTTATCATTCTTGCTATCTTCTGCAGCTGTTTTATGACCATTACTAGAAAAAACTGCCATAAAACACATACGAGTATACTAGCTTCTAACGTAGGTGAGCGCACACACACACAGACAAATATATATATATATATATATATATATATATATATATATATATATATATATATATATATATATATATATATATATATATATAATAAACTCTCAGCATGTATACATTGAGAGTGTACACCTATCATCGTATGCAATGTTGCCTCTGAAAATAACCACCTCTCAGTGAACAAGCAGTTGGTGGGGGTTGAGGTAGGGGGTTGGAGGAGAGGGAAGGTAATAAGGCAGCTGAGTAAGGACTGGGAGTCAGTTCCCTTCATACCTTTAGTGAAATAACACTTTCTTTTCCTGGACAGAGGTTGTTTTTAGATATTGATATTTTTATAACAATATATTTTTAAAAAAAATTTATTTTTAAAATACATATGTTAATATTTAATTTTTATTAAAACTTTTGTTTTAATATGATTATTTCCTCGTGTGTATTAATGCATTATTTTTATCATGCACTAAAATTTTTAAATACGCTTATGGAATTAATTCTTTTCGAGGTTCTTGAGTAAATTTAAATTTTTCTGTTCAATCTTCGACTTGGAAATATTCCTAATTCTTTATTAAAGTTTCTTTAGTAATTACGAATCTCAAAACTTTACTATAATTCCTCCATTATCATTCCCAACGTAATGCTAAATATTCTTTCTTGTTAACAGATGGCTGTTGCTTTGTTACTCCATATAATGGGGTGTCTTGCTCTAGTAAGTAATCTTTTAATTTTTGTCGACTAAATACTTAATTTCCTTTACCCAGCTTCCTTTTTACACTAAATCCCACTTACTTTCAGATCTTATTTCTCCAAATCCATCTGAACTTTAACTTGACTTTCTAGTCCCTCCCTCTATATACTATATAACAAACCTTTCCCCCCCCCTCCTTTAACGTAAGTTAAACTGTCATATAACTGAACACTGTCCTAATCCTTTCCTAAATTTTTCTTACCGTTCTGTTCAAACTTTATTCTTCCAGGTAAAGGGCCAAGTCATCAGTACTTACGAAGTTCACCCTGCCATCGTTGTTCCTACACAACCTACTTCTACTCTCACTGTTCAGGTATACGACCCACTAAATACAAATTTATTTTTTTTTACTTTAATTTTTATTTTCTTACATTAATCTCTATCCTTCCAGACTACTGTAACTCACACATTAAGGGAAACGACTACATCAGACGTCTGGATCACGGATCAAACTCTACTCGCTCTAACAGTGACACAAACCACAACACACTGGGATTTTATTCCTAAAGAACCACGAACAGTAACATCTACAATCAGGGTCATTTCAATACCGGTGAGAACCTGCCGTTCTTATGTTTTCATAACATTCTAAAATAAACGCCTTTTTTAATTTGATATCTTCCTACAGGTAGTGTTTGTAACGGCTACAGTTGGAGCAAATCCCGTGAGCACTATGGTGTCTATATTCAGCCAGTTTGTTACCGTCACTGACACTATTAAATACTGGCAGACCATAACTCATGTTGACGTCACACATCAGGTACTACTATTGTTTAGTCCTCATACTTTTGATTCGACAACTATTCACATAATTATCCCTTAATCACTTTTTTACTTTTATCAGATTCATACGGTTCCTGTTGTGACGACGCAAGACTTGCTACAACAAATCATAACTACAATAACCCAAATCGTCACTACTACTGTCACCTCTACAACTGCCCGTTACTATGGTTAATTGTTAAATTCCCATTGTTTAAAAAAAAAATTGTTTAATGAGTTTTAGTCGCAAAACAATTTAACACCTAGAAATTGTGGACACTAAATCTTTAATCTAATGATAAAATCAAGTCACATTCTGTACTTCGACTACTAGGAAATGTGATTTCATTGGTAACAATTGTGCAGAGTAGAATGTTACAAACTAATATACCTTCGTTGATGTAACTTAATAAAATAAAACTACTTAACAGTTTTACTTGGCCCAGGTCTTAAATTGTTAAATTCAGTAATTTTTTTATTTAAAAAAACTAAAGTTATACATGTATGTTAAACAACATTGACAACCTGTACCTAAACATACCTTAAACAGAAAATAGCTACAATCCAACCTGTCACTCTTATTCAGTGTATGAAAACTTTATAAAACTTTATAAATAATGCCTCTTCAAGGGGGGGGCTCCTTGGCGTGGTGAATAGGCTCTTGGTCTGAGGAATTAGACCTATCGGTCTTCCTCAGACCTAACCTAATTACCCTCCAATCTCCCCTCCCCTATCCCATCCTCCCCTTTTTTCCCTTCCTCCTCCTCCCCACCCTTCCCTTTTGCCCTTCCTCTTTTTGTCCTTCGGGATTTCTCCCACAGGCGTGCTAGTTCGTAGGTAGGGGAAAGGATACCGGTGTCCATCCCATTCCGTTGAGGTTCTTAGCGGTGGCGTAGTTTGCCATGGAATATGAATCGCCTGGGGATGTCCCGATCCCTCTCCGGTATCCCGGAGTAGCTTTGGGTGTCTTTCGGGCGACGAGTGTATCTCTGGAAGCCACCTTTCGGATACCGGGGGTGGTGGCTGAAGGAGGTATGCTTTGTGGCGGATATCCGGCCGCCCTCTTTTGTCCACCGAGGTAGCTCGGCAGATGTGAGGTTGCTATCCCGGATTGTTAGTTTACTAGCATGATGGGTAGGGTATAAGCAAAGAACTACAGACCAATAGCACTAACATCCCATATCATAAAAATCTTTGAAAGGGTCCTAAGAAGCAAGATCACCACCCATCTATAAACCCATCAGTTACACAACCCAGGGCAACATGGGTTTAGAACAGGTCGCTCCTGTCTGTCTCAACTACTGGATCACTACAAGGTCCTAAATGCACTAGAAGACAAAAGAATGCAGATGTAATATATACAGACTTTGCAAAAGCCTTCGACAAGTGTGACCATGGAGTAATAGCGCACAAAATGCGCGCTAAAGGAATAACAGGAAAAGTCGGTCGATGGATCTATAATTTCCTCACTAACAGAACACAGAGTAGTCGTCAACAGAGTAAAGTCCGAGGCAGCTACGGTGAAAAGCTCTGTTCCACAAGGCACAGTACTAGCTCCCATCTTGTTCCTCATCCTCATATCCGACATAGACAAGGATGTCAGCCACAGCACCGTGTCTTCCTTTGCAGATGACACCCGAATCTGCATGACAGTGTCTTCCATTGCAGACACTGCAAGGCTCCAGGCGGACATCAACCAAATCTTTCAGTGGGCTGCAGAAAACAATATGAAGTTCAACGATGAGAAATTTCAATTACTCAGACATGGTAAACATGAGGAAATTAAATCTTCATCAGAGTACAAAACAAATTCTGGCCACAAAATAGAGCGAAACACCAACGTCAAAGACCTGGGAGTGATTATGTCGGAGGATCTCGCCTTCAAGGACCATAACATTGTATCAATCGCATCTGCTAGAAAAATGACAGGATGGATAATGAGAACCTTCAAAACTAGGGAGGCCAAGCCCATGATGACACTCTTCAGGTCACTTGTTCTATCTAGGCTGGAATATTGCTGCACTCTAACAGCACCTTTCAAGGCAGGTGAAATTGCCGACCTAGAAAATGTACAGAGAACTTTCACGGCGTGCATAACGGAGATAAAACACCTCAATTACTGGGAGCGCTTAAGGTTTCTAAACCTGTATTTCCTGGAACGCAGGAGGGAGAGATACATGATTATATACACCTGGAAAATCCTAGAGGGACTAGTACCGAACTTGCACACGAAAATCACTCGCTACGAAAGCAAAAGACTTGGCAGACGATGCACCATCCCCCCAATGAAAAGCAGGGGTGTCACTAGCACGTTAAGAGACCATACAATAAGTGTCAGGGGCCCGAGACTGTTCAACTGCCTCCCAGCACACATAAGGGGGATTACCAACAGACCCCTGGCAGTCTTCAAGCTGGCACTGGACAAGCACCTAAAGTCAGTTCCTGATCAGCCGGGCTGTGGCTCGTACGTTGGTTTGCGTGCAGCCAGCAGCAACAGCCTGGTTGATCAGGCGCTGATCCACCAGGAGGCCTGGTCACAGACCGGGCCGCGGGGGCGTTGACCCCCGAAACTCTCTCCAGGTAAACTCCAGGTTCCATGCTGCATCTGCGCTACTTGCGGTGCTGAGGTCCTCTTGGGTGCGGAGGGAGATTTCTGGCCCTTTCATTCCTCCTAGGAACTATCCCTCCCGGTCCCCCTTTTTTTTATTTTTATTTTTTTTTCTTAAAAACAAAAAGAAAGAAGTAACTTAACCATGGCAGCCCTAGTCCATGAACCTGGTACCCCCGGGCCCCTTCTTGATACCGCACCCCGTTCTGACCCCGCCTCATCTTTGGACCACTCTTCAGACATTTCCTCATGCCTTGTACTATTGCCGGGCTGTTTCCTCACCGCTTCGGGTATGAGGCCTCGATGCTTTCGATTTACGGCCCTTCGCTCCCTCACTAGCTTCTGGCCTCTCCCCTAGGTGCGGCAATTTTCAAATCGCCGACCCGTTCCCGTCGGCAAAACCCGGGTCCCCACGCCTAAACGCCAACGACAATTACCTGCGATTGATACTTCTCCACCTTCTCGTTCTTCTCAAAACGATCGACACGCCCTTCATACCTTTCCACGCTCATTTCAGACTGAAAAAGGGGGACTAAATTTTTCACTTTAGACTAACTTCCTCTACTGCCTACTTTCTGACCATAGTATTGGCAAGGAAACTCCTACGCCATTTTGGTAAAGATTTCTTTTCAGTTTTTTAGACGGTAGGCGCATCAACCGAAGAAGCTCCCCAGGTATGACTTTTCCGCTTTCCCAAATCGATACTTTTCCCTGTCGCTCTTGAAAAACACATTCCCTCAATTCTTGTGGGGTGGTACCTCTTTTTTTCCCCCTACCATGTTCAAAAAAATTTCCAACAGTGGCACTGACATTCTAGAACGGCGGGAACTCCAAGATCTCCCAATCCCAAGGAGACACTTGGGTTCTTCCGCCCAGGGCGGAGAGATACCCTAGCAATGTGTTTTTAACTTTTTACAGCGGAACTCCCACCTCAGTTATATAGCAGGCATGGTTACAAGTTCGAAAGGTATCCCTACACCCCAAAAAAGTGTAGAAATTGTGGGATTTGGCCAACCCGCGAATATTTCAGAATTATCGCCCCAATGCCAGCGGTTGTGCCCAGACCTTTTAATACCGCAATCGATCTCCCTCTTCCTTAATGTCATGAGGTTACCCTTCGTATTCGCCCTTGTCAGGTCTATTTAAACGGCGGGGGGAAATCCCTTACCCCAAAAACAGGGGGTCCCCTTTTGCCATGGCAGTTTCTATTCCGCCTCCAAGGGAACTCCCATGTGTTTTTTTTCCCCCTGTTTCAAACGTCCCCCCCCCCCCCCTTTGGTATCCCCCTTTTTACACCCCCCCTCTGTGGTTACCTCTCCCCTAATCGCTCCTGTATCTAATCCTTTTGCTGTCCTCGGCTCAGACGTCCCCCCTTTTCAACGCCTCGCTAATCTCGCTTCTTCAGTTTTCGCAAGCCCGGTATCAGAGACCTCTTTTCGACGCCTCCCAAACGTTACCTATTTTCAAAAGTCAAAAAAAAAAAGGGCCGTTAACACCTCCCCCTTTTTCCCCTCATTTTTACCCTCCCCGTCTCTGTCCCGGTTCTTCCCCTCTCACTGGCTCAGTTACAAGTGTAGAGGTTCACCCTCCTCGTACGTACATTCCCCCCTGTTCCCTCCCAAGTTTCTTCTGCCACCTCCCGGTTTCCCGCCTCTTTTGTCCCCCGCAAAAGCTGTCCCGTTCCTCCACCCTTTCGCCCCCCCCACCTTGGTACAGTCCAAAACGTTCCAATCTTATCATCATCCCCCCGCCTTCCCAATTTTCTCCCATACGACATCTCGAATTCCCAAACACTTTAAAACAATCCTGAATATTTGCGAGACCCAAACCCTTTAAGGACACGATCCACCTTCTGCTCTCCTCTCTCCCATCTGTCAAATCCTTTCTTCACAGCGCACCGTTCCTTCGCTGCTGAACGTTTCCCCTGTCCCCGCATTGGATTTTTTCTAACCCTTCATTTTGGGGAAACCCCTTTTTACCTGGGGATTTCAATACTTTAATTCCCAAATCATGGCCTTTTTACAGTGGAATATACCGGCCCCAGGGTAATTGGGGGAGCTTCAGATGTTGCTCCCCCCATTTTGCCCTTTTGGGTGTTTGCTTAAAGGGAACCCCCAAATTAATCTGCTGTTATTTCTCACATTCAGGCAAAATTTATTGTATTCTTCAGACCCTTTTCCTGAGGGGACCTTCAATGAAAGTCCCCCTTCTTCCCGCACTGATATTCCGACCATCGGCTTTTTGTTAAACTTCGCTGCATTACACAGCAGCCCGTACCCATTTACTAGGGGGTATACGCTTTTTTTTCTTTATATTCTCCCCTTCTGGGGCATTATCTATTTGGATTTTCCCTTCCTTGTTTCGTCATTACCCCACCGATTCTGTTATTTGGGTGTTTTAATGCCCACCTTTTCCCTTTGGGGGGGGGGGGGCCCTCGTGTGATTCCCGTGGAATTCGTTAGAGGCTTTCTTGCCCCCACCCCCTCCTGTTTTAAATACAGGTACTCCCCCCCTTTTTTGACCCGGGATCATACCCTCTTGCATCGATCTCTCAGTCCTCTCCTCTGCCGCATTTAGACTTCATTGGTCTGTTCTCCCGGACTTGCATGATAGTATTTTTCCCCAAAACATTCTTATTTCCCCCCTTCATATTCGCCACCTCTTCGCCCCCCCCGGGGCAATTTAATGGGGCAAATGGAACCTTTACTCACGCCTGTTTTAAAGGGGTTCCTTCTTCTCCTCCTCGATGATTTTTTAACACCTTTTCTCGTCCTCCGTTTTCACCGCAGCTTTCATTCATACCCAAACTTGGGGCGCATT